GCCTCACCTTTGGCAGAGGCATCTCCACACATGCCAGGGCCTTGGCACACGTTCTCCAGGCGCTCCACAGCCTTCTCCAGCCGCTCCACCAGCCTCTCCATGTCTGCTGCTGTCCGCAACCTGCACGGACAGGACACAATTACTGCATCCCCAGGTGCCACTGAGGGTTTATGGCTGGCTGCTACAAGCTCTACCAGTTCCAGGAGAATCATTCCAGCCCAGCTCTGCACCCTGAGGAGGGCCAGCAGTGCACCCTGACATTAGCACGGACAGCTGGGTTACACAACAGCCTCTTGCTGTTGCCACACTCGCTCCTTGATAGTTTCTATTCCATTTTAAGGGCTCCTTCCATGTGTAAGGACATGAAACTCCCACCATCTAACCTCATAGTGACACCACTGAGTCACACAAAGGTCTGCCCAGGCTCTCACTGCAGTCAGCCCCTGGCCAAAGTCCCAGCTGTGAGGACACGGTCACTGCTCTGCTGGGAGCTCACACACTCCTGGTGAAAACCACCGGGTTTGAGTCTCCAAATGCATCTGCAAGGACCTCCTGGAGTCCTGAATTGCTCCCAGGAGCATCTGTAAGCTCAGGATCAGAGCCTGAGCCACCCTGGCACACGCCAAGGGAGCAGCTGCACGAGCTGAGGCAGCAGAGCTGTTTCTGCAACAACAGCCCCTGTTCTTCCTCTGCAGCTCTGCAGAGCCTCCTCTGCAGCCACCACACAGGAAAGAGGCCCAGGCATGCAAGCCATTTGCTGCATGTCATCTGGAAAAAGTCTTAAAAGTCACATAAACTTTCCATTAATTACTGCTTTGCACCGAGCAACAAGACAGGTCAGGCTCCCTGCCCAGTAATGGCCAGGGAATGCAGGGAGGGAGCAGCAAAGTCACTGGGGCATTTTTATCTTATCAGCACTCATCAAAAAGATTTTACAGCATGAATCACTACGGTGGCCTGGACACAGCTCCCTTCTGAAGGGGTTGCTGCAGCCTGCAGGAGCTCAAAGCCCTGTCTGGAGGAGGGGATCCTTCCCAGAACATCCCCAGAGTGCTCCAGGAGGAAGGCAGGGTTTACTCAGCTGAGCTGACACTGGCTCCCCTCTGAGAGGAAACCTCGAGTTCTCACTCTTGAGTTTTGCTTTTGTTCACAAGCCCTCTCAGCCCTGCTGCTTCAGAAGTGCAGGTTTTCACCTCATTTCCAGAGGATGTGGGGCAGATCCAGCATTAGTCACGAGCCCAGCACTGATGTCACAAGACAAACAAGGCCTTTTTCCACCCCTTTGCTGCCTGCTTGCAGCAGGAGAGGCAGCTCTGCTGCGGGGGGCAGGGGAGAGGAGGAAGAGGAGCAGCTTCCTCCTCTGTCCACGCTGAACCAGGGGACACACTGTGCACAAAACCCCACTGGATGGCTTCCAGATCCACGGCAAAAAAGAGTCCAGAGACGCTGAAACTCTGCAGCATCAGAGCAATGAACAGCTCTGAATCTTTAATTGTGAGCCCTGCATCTTTAACTGTGAGCTCTGCATCTTTAACTGTGAGCTCTGCATCTTTAACTGTGAGCTCTGCATCTTTCACTATTTGGGAGCCCTGCATCTTTCATTATATTTGGGAGCCCTGCATCTTTAACTGTGAGCCCTGCATCTTTCATTATATTTGGGAGCCCTGCATCTTTCACTATTTGGGGGCCCTGCATCTTTCATTATATTTGGGGGCCCTGCATCTTTCATTATATTTGGGGGCCCTGCATCTTTCATTATATTTGGGGGCCCTGCATCTTTCATTATATTTGGGGGCCCTGCATCTTTCATTATATTTGGGAGCCCTGCATCTTTCACTATTTGGGGGCCCTGCATTTAAGTGTTGCAGCAGATGGAAGTGAAGCCCAGAGAACAGATTCTGGTTGTGCTTGCAGGATCCATGAGCAAAGTAGCACTGGAAATGTCACCACAGTGATCTCTCCAAACTGATTTGCTCATGGATCCTGCAAGCACAACCAGAATCTGTTCTCTGGGCTTCACTTCCATCTGCTGCAACATTTAAATCACACCATGGCCTTTTACATGGCCTGGTCATCCAGAGAGCTGCTCTGGAGGAGAAATCTGTTCAAGCTCTGCCCCGTGGTCTTGTTTGAGATCCCACTGTCACCTCTGCTTGTCACCTCTTGGCTTTGCCTTTGTGACAGCAAAACTGGGGGAATCTGACACTTAACAAAGCACCTGACTTCACAAATTATTATTGTTTATTACAGGTTTTTGGGGGCTGCACATAGCTGTGATCTCCTGAGCAAAACAATCTGAAAATGCTGTAAAGTCCACTCCCCTTCTGACCACACAGCAGGGCAGCCTGTGCTGAAATCAGCTCTCTTAAAAACCAGCCTGACTGAAACTCAGATCAAACTGACTCAAACAAAGCTCTGCAGCACTGATCCCCAGCAAGGCTCTAATCTGATCAGCCCCACTGCCCCAAGTGCAGCTCTGAGCAGGATTACTGGGCAGAAAATCCAGATGGAGAACTGGAAAACTGCTCCCTACCCCAGCAGTGGCAAACTGCAGCTCTGAGCAGGATTACCAGGCAGAAAATCCAGATGGGAAACTGCTTCCTACCCCTGGCAGCAAAGGAAGCTGCTGGAGGAGCACATCCCTCAGCTCTGGGTGGGATTAGCACCCCAAAATCACCAAAATCAGCGTTCCTTGGCACTCCCATGCTCCCTCTCCCTGCATTTGACAAGTCCTGCCTTGTTTATCCATCAGCTCCCAGTGCCCCACAGCAGCTTGGCAAACCTGCTGCTGTCAGGCAGATGGTGAACTCATTTTAATTTCCTTTTAATGGGTGGCATTAGGGTAACTTAAAAGATAAGTCAGTTGGTAAATTGGCAGCAAAATGAGAGCTAAGTGCAGGCAACCCAAAGTCCTGGATGTCAGTCCTTCCTCCTGACTCACCCTCCCTGTGCTCTTTGCCCTGTGGATGAAGTTATTTCTGCTGCCTGGATACCCACACGGAGGGAAATAAAACGATTGAGCTGTAACTAAATCAGAGATTAACATTCAGCAAGGAAAATAAAAACAACCACACAGGGGACCTGCCCCGACTGCACCTAGACAGTGTTTTGTCTACTGGCCTGTAAATATAAAATAATTCCACAGAAAGTGACAAATCAACTTCACAGGTCCCAGTACAAATGATCAGACCTCGTTTCCCTTTTCTGAAGGGGAAGATGAGACACACAGACCATCCAAAATCCAAAAATTTTTTTTTTTTTTGTTCTACAAATCACCCAGGAGTAATTTTTGCTGTGCACATCACCCAGTGCTCCAGAGGGATGAGGGAAACCTTCCCAGCTCCCTGTGCAGCGCTGGGATGAGCTCTCCCTTCCAGGACAACAACACAGGATTTAAATCTCGTTCCAATTCAATTGAACTCTGATTAGCAGTGGAGCAGAAGCAGCAAACACAGTTTCACCCAGGGCCAGAGGGGCCATTCCTTTTCACAGCACATTTGTTCATCCATCAACTGCCCTTTATTCCCATCTCAGCCTGGGACATGCTGTGCCATAAACAGGCTGAGCAGAGCAATAAAATAAAGGGATTTTATTGGTAAAAACATCATTTAGCCCAAACCCTGCACATCCCAGCAAGAGGAGCTCCCTGTTTGGGGAAGGAGCTGGCCTGGTCCCAGCCTCAGAGCGAGCAAATTCTCAAAAAAAACACCAAAAAAATGAAATCATTTCCTTGCCTGAGACAGCAAATGAACCTGAGCCCTTCCTTAGACGTTCTGGAAGACACAAATGTTGGTTTTATAGGCAAAGCAAGTCAAACCTACGCTTGTGCTCACACCGAGCCCGACACACTGCTGTCAGCACCACCACATTTGCATCAGCTACTTCCTGTTTCTACAGGCAAAAGAAATAAAGATGGGACAACTAAATTAGGAACATACCACAGTTTATTTCTGAGCTGACACTGGAATATCTCAGGGGATCAGCTACCAGATGATTTCCAACGTTTATATCTGCCAAAAACCAGAATAATTTATTTTTTTTTCTTTTTTAAACAGTTCAGCTCCTCGAGGCAGGGATGATTTGAAGTGAGGCAGGAGTCAAAAGCCTGAATTTAGCCAGTGGTCAGGAGCAGCCATGAACACAAGACAGCTATTGCTGGTCCCAGCAGCTGCCAGGACAGAGATCTCAGCTGTTTAGAGTCCAACAATACTTGCTGACACTGCGCCAGAACCCGTGCTGGCTGCTCCTGCTATTTCAGACCCACTTTATTTAGAAAACCAAGAGTGCTTTAAAAAAAAAAAAAAAAAAAAAAAAAAAATCCATCTGGCCCCTGTTCCAGCTTTCCCATACAACAAACCCTCCTGAAGCCATCGAAAATGTTATTTGGTGTTTTACTCACAGGTTAAGAGGGGGTTAAAGCTCGGCACTGGAGCAAAGGCTCCTTTTTCAGCACAATCATCTGAATTAGGAGGTTTGTGCCTGCCAGCCTCAGCTGCCACCCTCCTCTCACTTCCTCTCCCTGCCAGGGTGATGAATCCACCAGGGAGGTAACCAAGGATGTGGGCTCTGAGCAGGGCTGGGTGCAGCAGGGAGCTCCAGATCAGGAATTCCGAGCCTGGGAGCAGCTCAGCATCCTCCCGTGCCTGCCCCAGCACGGGCTGAGCTCTCTGCATGGATAACTGGGGGTATTGAGCCTGGGAGCAGCTCAGCATCCCTCCCGTGCCTGCCCCAGCACGGGCTGCTCGGCTGAGCTCTCTGCATGAATAATTTGGGGTATTTTTGGCTTTCAGAGAGCTCAGCAATATCCCAGGGACACAGGGCTGGCCCTGGAACAGAACAGGCACACACAGCAGTGTCCTGATGCCACGGATCCCCGGGTTCTCAGGGCACCTGGGGGGATTCCAGAACCCCGGGATGTGCCAAACAACCCTGGAATTATTCGAATTTTCCCTTTGGCCAGCACGGAATCACAGACTGATCCCATCCCAGGCACCCGCACAATGCAGAGGAGGAACCGACAACCACCCGGGGATGGAGAGGGAGCCTGGGCGGTGGGAGAACAAAAATCCCCGCCGCAGGGTACGGGGAAAAACCGGATCAGCCACGCCTGCCCGTCCCGGTGAGCCCCGGTAACCGAGAGAGCTCCGCGGGGGTGTTCGCACCGTTCTGCGCCAAATCAACCCCAAACCGCCGCCTTTGGGGGATCCACCCCCATCAACCGGGCCGGGGCTTCTCCCACCGCCCGGCCCAGCATCGCCCACCGGCCCCGGGAGCGGCCGCGGTCCTGCGGTCCCCGGTCCCAGCTCGCCGGTCCTGCTCCCGGGGCTGGGCCGGGTCCTGCGCCCGGTGCCCGGTCCTGATCCCGGTGCCCGCCCACTCTCGCCGGTACCGCCCCCAGATCTGGCCGTGTCCCGGTCCCGATCCGCGCTCAGACCCGGCCATGCCCGATGCCCGGTGCGGTACCGCTCACTCCCACCCACGGACCCTCGGATCTTCAGCCCGGGCCGTGCCCGGTGCCGGTACCGTTCACGCCCACCCTCAGATCCCCAGCCAGGCCGTGCCCGGTGCTCACCCCCGGTGCTCACCCCCGGCCGCTCCCGCTCCGCCGCTCCCGGCGCCGCCCAGCCCCGCCGCGCCCGCCGCTTCCGGCCCCCGCCCCGCGCGCCGGATGTGCGCACGGCGCGGCGCGGCGGGGGGCGGGGCTTCAGGAGAGCCGCCACGCGATTGGCGGGCGGGGGCGAAGGCGTGGTCAGAACGGTTGAGGGGTGTGGCGAAGGGGGTGGAGCTTCGGGGCGGATTCTGCCCTGCGATTGGTGAATTGAATGGAAGGCGCGGTCCATTCATATGTGGACGGAGTCATGGGCGTGGTCTCGTGTGTGGGCGGGACCAATGGGCCGGATGGGGGCCGGGACCCCCGGGGGATTCGGGACCCCCGGAGGGGCTGGGGGCGCTCCGGGACCCCCGCAGGGTCACACCGAGGGGCTGGGGGGGTCTGAGAGCCCCAGCAGGGCCAGCTGAGACCCCCCCGGGTGGGCTGTTCACCCCCCAGAAGGGGCTGCTGGGGTAGGGGGTACTCAGGAGGTTTGGGACCCCCGAAAGGGGTTGAGGTGCTTTGGGAGCCTCCGGAAGAGGGGCAAGGCTGGAGATTGGGGGAGGAACGGGACGGCGTTCCGGTAAGGATCGGACACGGTCCGGTAATGGCTGGGACACGTTGCCAGGCTGGCGAGGAGGAGGAGGAGGAGAAGCCGCGGCCGCCGCTTCCTGCCCGACTGCGCTACCAAAGATGGTCACGGCTCGGGGATGGGGCTCGGAGCCGGCGGCGGAGCTCTGCTGACACCCAGTGGGACTCTGAGACACCGGTGAGGCTCTGCTGTCACAGACATCTTCCATGAAAAATCCTTTCCTCAGGATTTTTCCTCCTGAGAAGCTGAGAGGCCTTGGGAACAAAATATAAACAATGATTATCTGCTGTTGTGGAATGCAACAGGTGCATCTGGGATTGGTCCATGTTGGTTGTTTCTAATTAATGGCCAATCACACCCAGCTGGCTCAGACAGAGAGTCCAAGACAGAGCCTTTGTTATCATTCTTTCCTATTCTATTCTTAGCCAGCCTTCTGATGAAATCCTTTCTTCTATTCTTTTAGTATAGTTTTACTATAATATATATCATGAAATAATAAATCAGCCTTCTGAAACATGGAGTCAGATCCTCGTCTCTTCCCTCATCCTCAGACCCCTGTGAACACCGTCACCCTCTGCAGCTCCCGGCTCTGGAACAGGGAACCCTCTGAGGCTTCGATCTCCCTGTGCTGCCATGGAGATGTGGGTACGGGATGTGGGGCACCCAGCTCATGGTCACCCCCTTTCCTCGGAGCATCCTTCCAGCTCCCCACCCTGCCCTGGCAGAGCTCTCAGAGCCCTGCAGATCCCCCTGCCCGCAGCTCCTACACTCACCGAGGCTTTTTGCCCTTTCCCTGCAGGTAACGAGGGGGTTTATTCCTTTATTCCTCACTCTCTGCAAGGAGAGACTCTTCACACTTCCATTTTTCCCCTGCAGGGTAAACAGACTCAGCTGTCACCTCTGGAATTGTCCCTGCAGTCCCTCCTCCTGCCCCCTTTGCTTTCTGGTTTTCTTGGCTCGTTCTCCACCTTGCCCACACCTGCTGTGCCCCCTGCCCCGTCTCCACCACCACGAGACGTGATGCAAAATAGAAAATAAGAAATAAGAAGAAAATAACTTGTGTTTTTCAGCATCCTAAAAATCGCTGTGGGGAAGAAGCAGCCAGGTGCAGGGGGAAATCCAGGTGGGCAGCACTCGTGGGGAGAGAAAGGAGAAATCCCAGAGAATGGGGAGAGGAACAAAAAAATAACCCGAGAATGGGGAAGAGGAGAGCAGGGCTGCCCTGCCCAGGTCATCCTCCGTGGTTCCTGGAGGAATTAAAATCAAGTTCCTGGAACAGCTGGGGCACGGAGGAGTGGTGTGTGTCAGTGACCTGCTCCATCCCTGCCCCGTGCCTGGTGCTCGTCCCCCTTTTCTCCAAGCACCCTAGGAATATTTACTTCATGTTTCACCCCTGGTTTTTCTAAAATGTCTCTGCCTCCCTCAGACTGCAGCCTTTGGGTTTTTGCAGCCACAGGAGAGGAAAAACCCAAAGGTTTTTGTGTCCCTCGTGGTGGGGTGATGGAGCACTGTAGCCCAGCTTCATTCCTGGGAAAATGAATTTATTTATTTTTAATTTTTTTTTTGGCAGGAAATCACATCACTGCCCCATCGTTTCTGCCCACGTGCAGCAGCCCTGGGGCTGCTAACAAGCTTGGGAACAGAGGCTTTTGCAAAATATTAACCAAAGCCCACCAAAACACGTCAGCCCGTGTTTGCAGATGACAAGAGTGACCTCAGCCTGGTGGCACAGACAGGGTGACCCCTGGGGACAACTGTGACACCCATCCTGCACAGCAGGGCTGGATTAACTCTGCTGTCCGCAAGTGGGCACAGACCCCAGCAGAGCTGAGCTCCAGCATTCCCACTGCTCCTTCCCTGAGCTGATTTCCAGCTGGATCTGTCCCCTGATCCAGCCTCCCTGGGGACTCTGGGGTGACATCCCTTCCTGTGGGAACCTGTGCTTGGCTCAGCTTGAGGTGTTTGGAACCAGCCCTGGGCAATTCCTGCTGCTCCAGGATCCTTCCAAGCCCAGGGAAATCCATCCTCACCCCTGGGGGGTTTCACAAACCCTGCTGCCAGATAAACCCCAGGATTTTTTCCCCTTTCCTGGAGATAAGGAGGGGGTTTATTCCTCACCTTCTGCAAGGAGAAAATCTTCACACTCCCACTTTTCCCCTGCAGGGTAAATAAACTGTCACTTCTGGAATTGTCCCTGCAGTCACTCCTCCTGCCTGAGCCACTGAGGTCCTGCCCCTTGGAGTTCTGCAGGTCCATGTGCTGCTTTTTTGTTTGATTTTGTCCCCTTTGCACTCATCTGGTCCCTAGAGCACACCAGAACCTTCTGCTCCCCTCCTGCACAGTCCCCCCACATTCAGGGCTGGCCCGGGAGCCTGTGGGACCCTCAGCTGGGATTCAGGGCTGATTTCCAGCCCAGCCCTGAGAGGCAGCTGGAAATGCACCCTGCTTTTTCCACCTCCTGCCTCTGATTCCCTGCCCCTCACCCCGAGGATGTGGCAGCCCTGGCACCCCAGTTCTGCAGGGAGATGCTTCCCAGCACCTGGATGCATTTTCTCCGTGCCCAAGGTGTGTGTGGATTAAGCCAGAGCACAGCTGTAGGTACTGGCAACACCTCCCTGTGTGGCTTTTTCCACCCATTCCTTCTCCCTGCTTGGAGTGAAGCCCTCTGTGTCCAAACTGGAGCACAATCCCAGCTCCCAGGCTGGAGCTCTGCCCAGGGCTTGAGTGTTATCAACTCTCATGGTCACTCTCCCCCCACACATCTCATTTTCTTCAAAGCCTCAAACAGAGGAGGCATGCTTAGTGAGGAATATCCCACAGTTCAAGCTCCTCTGGATGGTTTTAGTCTCTTGGGCTGGCTGAAAAAACCCAGAGACTCCTCCTTGTGAATTCCACAGAGCCAAAAAAACAAGGAGGCAAAGAATAAAGTGTCCCTTATTTCTGTCTTTGAGAAAAAACAAAGGCTCTCAGCAATCTTTGCAAGCCTTGGAGCAGCAGCACTGCCCACACCCCTCAGAGGCAGCCAGGTCATGGCCATGGCTGGGATAACTCCTGGGCAGGAGCAGTGCAGGGTCAGAACATTCCCAACAGCCCTGAGCTCTCTTGGCTGGGGCCTTCCTCCTCCTCCTCCTCCTCCTCTTGCAGAGGATGCTCCTGACACCCACCTGCCCCACCACAGGGGCTGCAGAGGGAGCTGGCTTTGTCCCCCTGCTGTCCTGCCCTAGAAACTCCCCAGCCCCAGCCATGGGGCCCTGCTGAGCACAAAACCAGCTCCCATCCCTCTTCCCCATCCCACCCCTCTGCCTTTTTTCTGGGAGCATTCCCAGCTGATCCCTCTGGCTATTTTTATACCCCATCCTCATTCCTGTCCTTTGTTCCACATTTGGGTACAAAGGATGAGCCACATCCTTCCCCCCAAACCCCCCACTCCCATCTTAGCCCCGGCCCCAGCAGCTTCTCAGTGTGACCAATGTGCTCAACAAAGGGCAGCAGCCCTGGCCCCTTGGGGACAATTCACCCCATCCATGGAGGTGGCTGCTTCCAGCACCTTTTCTCCAGCCCCACTTGCTGCCAGAGGCACTGCTGTGGGAACAGGGAATGTGAGAGGGGGGGTATAAATATCCAGGGAGATTAGTGCTCCCCAGCACTCTGCCAGTCCCTTAAATTATAATTTAAAAAGTAAAAATGAAATTAAAAATAAATGAGAAACAAAATAAAAACTGTAAAGTGCTGTAAAAGTTCCATAAAAGGAAGTGCTGTAAAGCACAACTGTTGTAAAACTGCCATAAAGCACACCAAAATAAAAAAAAAAAAGCTTTAGAAATAGAAAAATTAAAAATAAAAATGAAATTAAAAAAACCTTATAATTTAAAAAATAAAATTAATTAAAAATAAATGAAAAACAAAATAAAAACTGTAAAGTGCTGTAAAGGTTCCATAAAAGGAAGTGCTGTAAAGCACAACTGTCGTAAAACTGCCAAAAAGCACACCAAAATAAAAAAAAATAAAAAGCTTTAGAAATAGAAAAATTAAAAATAAAAATGAAGTAAAAAATAACTTATAATTTAAAAAATAAAATTAATTAAAAATAAATGAGAAACAAAATAAAAACTGTAAAGTGCTGTAAAAGTTCCATAAAAGGAAGTGCTGAAAAGCACAACTGTCGTAAAAGTGCCATAAAGCACACCAAAATAAAAAAAGAAAAAGCTTTAGAAATAGAAAAATTAAAAATAAAAATGAAGTAAAAAATAACTTATAATTTAAAAAATAAAATTAATTAAAAATAAATAAAAACAAAATAAAAACTGTAAAGTGCTGTAAAAGTTCCATAAAAGGAAGTGCTGTAAAGCACAAGTGTCGTAAAACTGCCATAAAGCACACCAAAATAAAAAAAAGAAAAAGCTTTAGAAATAGAAAAATTAAAAATAAAAATGAAATTTAAAAAATCTTATAATTTAAAAAATAAAATTAATTAAAAATAAATGAAAAAAAGAATAAAAACTGTAAAGTGCTGTAAAAGTTCCATAAAAGGAAGTGCTGAAAAGCACAACTGTCGTAAAACTGCGCAAAGCACACCAAAATAAAAAAAGAAAAAGCTTTAGAAATAGAAAAATTAAAAATGAAATTAAAAAAACCTTATAATTTAAAAAATAAAATTAATTCAAAATAAATGAAAAAAAGAATAAAAACAGTGAAGTGCTGTAAAGCACAACTGTCGTAAAACTGCCGTAAAGCGCAATTGACGTGGTGCCGTAAAAGGTGCCGTAAAGCGACACTGTCGTAAAAGGTGCCGTAAAGCGACACTGTCGTAAAAGGTGCCGTAAAGCGCGACTGTCGTAAAAGGTGCCGTAAAGCGCGACTGTCGCAAAAGGTGCCGTAAAGCGCGACTGTCGTAAACCTGCCGTAAAGCGCGACTGTCGTAAAAGGTGCCGTAAAGCACGACTGCCGTAAAAGCGAGACTGTCGTAAAAGGTGCCGTAAAGCGCGACTGCCGTAAACCTGCCGTAAAGCGCGACTGTCGCAAAAGGTGCCGTAAAGCGCGACTGTCGTAAAAGGTGCCGTAAAGCGCGACTGTCGCAAAAGGTGCCGTAAAGCGCGACCGTCGCAAAGCTGCCGTAAAGCGCGACTGTCGTAAAAGGTGCCGTAAAGCGCGACTGTCGTAAACCTGCCGTAAAGCGCGACTGTCGTAAACCTGCCGTAAAGCGCGACTGTCGCAAAATGTGCCGTAAAGCGCGACTGTCGCAAAAGGTGCCGTAAAGCGCGACTGCTGGAAAATGGCCCGTAAATCGCGACTGTCGCAAAACAGCCGTAAAGTGCCATAAAGCGAGACTGTTGCAAAACTGCTGTAAACCGTGACTGTCTTTAACAGAGACTTTTAGGATACAGGTGTTTAAAGCACTTTATTAGTATTTCCTGCCGGGCCATGGCTGCCGGGGAGCTGCTCCCAGCTTGCAGGGCGCTGCTTGAGCCGTGTTTGCTGCACGGGGGATGCCCACAGCAGCCGCCCCGCCGAGCTCCGCCCATGCTGTGACTCCGCCCCTTGCCGCCGCGAGTCTTTAACAGGACACGCCCCCCTCCCGTCGGACCCCGCGGCTCCGGTACCCGCAGTCCTGCTTGGCCCCGCCCCCTGCCGCCTGCCCCCCGCTCCCGCCCTCCCCGCCTTTGCCATCCCCTTGGTCTCCACGCCCGGTTTCGCAATCCTCACGGCCCCGTCCCTCAATTCCCGCCTCTACGAGCCCGCCCACCAACGTCACCGCGGCCCCACCCCCTTCCCCCCGCCCCCCCCCCCCGCCGATCCCGCCGCTTTCCCCCCCCCCCGCTACCCCTGAGCGCGGCGGCTTCTCCCGCCCCCCAAGCCCCCTCGCCCCCTTTGCCGACACAGCGGCGCCGCTGCTGGCCCAGGTCCCGTCGCTGCTGCGTCCTTGCAGTCCCCTGCGGCTCCCGGATCTGCGGTGCCGAGCACGCCTGGCGCGGCCGCGCTGGCGTCCTCAGCGCCCCCTGCGGCCGTTGCCGCGGGAACCCCCCCTACCCCGGCGTTCAAGCGCATGCAGCGCACCCCGAGCTGCCCACGGGCTCCGCGCAGGGCAGACGCCCACGGCTGAACCCGCCCCTGCCGGCGTTTGGCCGCAATCCCCCGGTCCCGGCACGGCACCGCTTGCGCCGGGACCGGGGCGCCCCGGCCCGCCGAGCCACCCCGTGCCGGCGCCGCGGCGTCCGCACCGGTGGCTGCAGCCCCGCCCGTGCCTGCCGCCGCTCCTGCCCAGCCCCTCCCGTGCCTGCCGCCGCTCCTGCCCAGCCCCTCCCGTGCCTGCCGCCGCTCCTGCCCAGCCTCCCGTGGCTGCCGCCGCTCCTGCCCAGCCTCCCGTGGCTGCCGCCGCTCCTGCCCAGCCCCGCCCGTGCCTGCCGCCGCTCCTGCCCAGCCCCTCCCGTGCCTGCCGCCGCTCCTGCCCAGCCCCGCCCGTGCCTGCCGCCGCTCCTGCCCAGCCCCTCCCGTGCCTGCCGCCGCTCCTGCCCAGCCCTTCCCGTGCCTGCCGCCGCTCCTGCCCAGCCTCCCGTGGCTGCCGCCGCTCCTGCCCAGCCTCCCGTGCCTGCCGCCGCTCCTGCCCAGCCCCGCCCGTGCCTGCCGCCGCTCCTGCCCAGCCCCGCCCGTGCCTGCCGCCGCTCCAGCCCAGCCCCTCCCGTGCCTGCCGCCGCTCCTGCCCAGCCCCTCCCGTGCCTACCGCCGCTCCTGCCCAGCCTCCCGTGCCTGCCGCCGCTCCAGCCCAGCCCCGCCCGTGCCTGCCGCCGCTCCTGCCCAGCCCCTCCCGTGCCTGCCGCCGCTCCTGCCCAGCCCTTCCCGTGCCTGCCGCCGCTCCAGCCCAGCCCCTCCCGTGCCTACCGCCGCTCCAGCACAGCCTCCCGTGGCTGCCGCCGCTCCTGCCCAGCCCCTCCCGTGCCTACCGCCGCTCCAGCACAGCCTCCCGTGCCTGCCGCCGCTCCTGCCCAGCCCCTCCCGTGCCTGCCGCCGCTCCTGCCCAGCCCCTCCCGTGCCTGCCGCCGCTCCAGCCCAGCCCCTCCCGTGCCTGCCGCCGCTCCTGCCCAGCCCCTCCCGTGCCTGCCGCCGCTCCTGCCCAGCCTCCCGTGCCTGCCGCCGCTCCTGCCCAGCCCCTCCCGTGCCTGCCGCCGCTCCTGCCCAGCCTCCCGTGCCTGCCGCCGCTCCAGCCCAGCCTCCCGTGCCTGCCGCCGCTCCTGCCCAGCCCCGCCCGTGCCTGCCGCCGCTCCTGCCCAGCCCCTCCCGTGCCTGCCGCCGCTCCAGCCCAGCCCCTCCCGTGCCTGCCGCCGCTCCTGCCCAGCCTCCCGTGCCTGCCGCCGCTCCTGCCCAGCCTCCGGTCCGCGCCGCCCCTGCCCGCCGGGCCGGCCGCCGCCCCAGCCCCCAGCGGCTACACGCCGCGCTCCAGCCGCCGCCTCCCCCACCGCCCGCCATGCCCCCCCCCGCAGCAGACTCCCGCCGCCTCCACGCCGCCCCTCCCGGGATCATCTCCCCGCCTCCCGCCACCCCGGGATCATCTCCCGCTGACGAGGCCGCCCCGCCGCCTCCCGTGGTCGGTTTCTCGCTCCTGCCGCCGCTCCATGTCGGGCCGAGCCGCGTCTTCCACACCGCAGCCCCCCACTTCAGAGCTGCTGAATGGCGCAGCTCCGCCGCCTCCTGCAACCACGGACGTCCCGGCGTTCCGGCCGCAGCCGCAGGCGCAGCCCCGGCTCCCGTTCCCGCAGCTCCGCCACCTCCCGCGCCCGCCCGCCGTGCGGCCCCCGCCCGCCATGGTCCCCACGCTGCCCTGGTGACACAACCCACGCATTCACGGTTGCTACAACCCCGCACCGGCGATATCGCTCCGCGCTGGCTCATCCGACCCCAGCGCCGCCGCCACCCCCCCACTGCTTTCGCCGCAGTTTTGGAACAGCCCGGTCCCGGTTCCGAGCCGCTGCGTGCCGCTGCCCGGACACAGCCGCCATCCCTGTGCCCTGTCGCGCCGCTTCCGCCGCCACCGGGTCCGTACCCGGCACCACAGCAGGCGAAACGGCAGCGCCTTGCATGTATCCTTCCGCGTCTCTCCCTCTGCCGGAACTTGAGGAGCCGGGCACGGCAGCATCACCGAGAGATCCCTCCGCAGCGCGGGACCCTGCACACCCCACACCTGGTGCGCCTCCGCGGGACCCTGCACACCCCACACCTGGTGCGCCTCCGTCTGACCCTACACAACCCACACCTGGTGCGCCTCCGCGGGACCCCGCACACCCCACGCCTGGTGCGCCTCCGCGGGACCCTGCACACCCCACGCCTGGTGCGCCTCCGCGGGACCCTGCACACCCCACACCTGGTGCGCCTCCGCGGGACCCTGCAGAACCCACACCTGGTGCGCCTCCGTCTGACCCTACACAACCCACACCTGGTGCGCCTCCGCGGGACCCTGCACGCCCCACGCCTGGTGCGCCTCCGCGGGACCCTGCAGAACCCACACCTGGTGCGCCTCCGTGTTTTCGCCTTCAACACTCCCAGCACCGAGTGGGACTACTTTGTGTCACGATTCGGCCGCACAGCCACATCCACGCACACAAACCGTGCAACGAGGGGGGGGGGGGGGGGGCTGGAATATGACAGCTGCTTTAATAAATACAGGACAGACAGAGAATTATTTTGCCCCTGCAAATGCCAACCCTTTGATCCCAACACAAAAGAATTTGGAAAAAGAACTGTTCCCAAATAGCTTCAGAGTCCCCCCAGTGTCCCTTTCTCTCCGCTCCCCAGCTGCCTCTCGTGTTTCCAGCCTGGAGTTCACCATCCCTGCTGGCAGCACTTTGATTTCATTCCTCCCTCCACCCCCCTCTTGAAAAGGAGAAAATAAAGGAGCCTTTGTTGGGTGCAGGCACCGAGCAAGGAGCTGCACGGGGGCAAGGGGCTGAGCACAGCCTCCTGCCTGGATTATGGCATTCCTGGACCAGGGCTCAGGAAAAGTCAGTCCTGCACCCCGTGGTGGCTGAAGGGACCCTGGGCTTGCTGACAGCCGTGACAAATCCCAGCTGAGTGAAAAAAAGGAATTCTTCACACCCACCGCCGACTTCCCCCACTTTTATGTAAATTAATATTAACAAGTCCTCGGGTTTGGGCTTTGTACAGATATATACAATCAGGAAACACCTCCATATTTACATCATTAAGTTAATTAGGCTGTGTAAAAAAAGCACAGGTCTCACATTAGTGCCCTCTGAAGAGACAGCAGAGGTGAGCTCACGTCCTGGGCACAGTGTAATGTACACTAACGATCACCCCCAGGCAGGCAGGGCACTGGGCACGGCTGATCCAGGCAAAACCAACCCAGACTGGGCTTCCCTGCCCTCCAGAGCCCCACAGGGAGATGCTTGTCCCTGGGGAGGCACCACCATGTGTGTAATGTACACTACCAGTGCTCTGTGGGCCCCATGCAAGGCACAGGACAGGCACAGATCCCGAGTTCTGGGCAGTGGATGCTCCCCACGGCTCCTCCAGCACCTCCAGGGCCCCATGCAAGGTGCAGGACAGGCACAGATCCTGAGTTCTGGGCAGTGGATGCTCCCCACGGCTCCTCCAGCACCTCCAGGGCCCCATGCAAGGTGCAGGACAGGCACAGATCCCGAGTTCTGGGCAGTGGATGCTCCCCAGGGCTCCTCCAGCACCTCCAGGGCCCCGTGCAAGGTGCAGGACAGGCACAGATCCCGAGTTCTGGGCAGTGGATGCTCCCCACGGCTCCTCCAGCACCTCCAGGGCCCCGTGCAAGGTGCAGGACAGGCACAGATCCCGAGTTCTGGGCAGTGGATGCTCCCCATGGCTCCTCCAGCACCTCCAGCCCGGGGGGGACAAGCCCTGGGGCGGCCCAGGGTGAGCAGGCAGACCCAGCCCGGGTCACACGATGCTGGCCAGTTCTGTGTTGTCCGACTCTGAGCTGCTGTTGCTCTCCTCCCTGGGGGAAAAGAGTTGGGAATGAGGCGTGGATTAACCCACAGGAGCGAGGGCTGCAGCCCAGTAATGTCTGCCTTGGGGAGCAGGAGCTTCCAGAGGGATGTCAGCACCTCGTGGGGTGTGCACCCCACACGAGCAGCTGGGGCAGGTCCCTGCTGATCTCCCAGCACTTCACACCATCCCTCTGGGAGCTGGGATTGGGAAAACAAGTCAGCACTTCCCTCACGCCACCGCCCACGGGGCCTGGAGGATTCCTGGACAAGCCCCAGTGTGTCCCAACCCGCCTGGTCCTGCCCCCACACACACCCCCACAGGCTGTGTTTGCTGCCTGATGCTCACCTTAAATCCTGCAGGGCTTTCTTGTTCTTGCTCCTCTTCTCCTCGTCGATGGGGTAGAGCTTGAAGAGCAGCAGGCTCAGCAGGATCAGCCCCACGGGCACAGCAGACACCAACATCTTCAGGGTGAAATGCACCTGGCCAGGCTGGGAGCAGCCCCTGGTCTGGTACCCTGCAAAGCTGTGGGCACAAAGGCACCTTCAGACAAAGGAAATGGGGTTTGCAGGGGCTCCCTGGGAAACCAGGGAGAGTTTTGGGGCAACAGCTGAGTCTGGAGCCCATCAATCCCCTCCCAGAGGCTGGGAAGTGCCTCCCTCCCTGTCCTCCTTCAGCCCCCAGGCAGGAACTCAGGTCTGGTACCCTGCAAAGCTGTGGGCACAAAGACACCTTCAGACAGAGGAAATGGGGTTTGCAGGGGCTCTCTGCTCCCTGTGGGGAGAGTTTTGGGGCAACAGCTGGGTTTGGAGCCCATCAATCCCCTCCCAGAGGCTGGGAAGTGCCTCCATCCCTGTTCCCTCCTCAGCCAGGAACTCACTCCAGGCTGAGCGTGGAGATGCCCAGGGACACCCCAGCAGTGAACTTGGTGAAGAAGACATAGAAGGAGAAGAAGATGGCCTCGTGGCCACGGGAGCTGGGGTGCTGCAGCTTGAAGTCATCGATGACATCTGGCAGCATGGACCTGTGCAGAGACAGGGACAGTGACAGTGACCACCAGGGCTGGCACAACAAAGCCACCTGCCGCAGACATCTTGTATGGAAAATCCTTTCTTGAGGATTTTTTTCCTCCTGAAAAGCTGAGAAGCCTCAAGAACAAAATGTAAACATTGCTTATCTGCTGCTGTAGAATGCAACAGGTGCATCTGGGATTGGCCCATGTTGGATGTTTGTAATTAATGGCCAATCACAGCCCAGCTGGCTCAGACAGAGAGCTGAGCCACAAACCTTTGTTATCATTCTTTCCTATTCTATTCTTAGCCAGCCTTCCGATGAAATCCTTTCTTCTATTCTTTTAGTATAGTTTAATGTAATATATATCACAAAATAATAAATCAGCCTTGTGAAACATGGAGTCAGATCCTCATCTCTTCCCTCATCCTGGGACCCCTGTGAACACGGTCACAGCCACCCCCTCTCTGCTGAGAGCATTTCCCTCAGGAGCCCCACTTGGGGCTGCAAACACTGCAAACAAACCCTTCTGGGGGTTTCTAAAGCTCTGGAAGCCCCTCAGACTCACCAGGGCAGGAGGAAGGCGGCTGCCACGCTGATGCCAGCGGCGACGGCCACCAGGTAGGTGACAAAGAGGTTACTGTCCAGGACAACCACGAGGATGAGGAAGGGGATGGCAGACTGCAAGGGGACAGAGAACAGGTTGGCATCCCCAGGGCCTGGCCCAGACCCCCTGGCTTCCCCCTCTCCCACATTTCCCAGCCCTCCAGGGTGCCAGAGGTGCAGTGTCCCTCCCTGAGCCCCAGGACAGCACAAACAGCAGCAGGAGGATGTCACCATGGTGTTGTATGAAAAATCCCATCGCCAGGATTTTTCTCCTTAGAAGCTGGGAAACTTCAGCTCCTGCATGTTTTGCTACTTGGGAATGTGATTTGGAGAATTGTTTACCCAGCATGTGAATTGTTTTAATTTAATGTCCAATCACAGCCAGCTGTGCTGGACTCTCTGAGTCTGTCACAGGTTTTTATTATCATTCTTGTCCAGCCTTCTGATGTCTCCTTTCTCTTTCTTTAGTTTAGTTTTAGTATATCATCTCTTTTGATATAATAAATAAATTTATTATTATTATATTTATTATGAGATATCATAATATCATAAATGTAATAAATAATACAATATCATAATATAATAAATAATATAAATAATTATATATAAATATTTATTATAAATTTATATAATATATATCTATATAATAAAATAATATACATTTATATAATAGATGTGTATTTATATTATTTATTATAGATTATATTATCTATTATTTTATTATTCCATAACATAATTAATATTAGAATATAATATTTATTATTATATATTAATATATGTTAAATATAATATTATAATAAATCAGCCTTCTGAGAGCTTGGAGTCTATTCTCATCTCTCACCTCATCCTGGGGACCCTCACAAGCACCACCACAGGAGGACAGGCACCAAACTGGCATTAGCAGCAGGGGGAAATTCTTTTGGGGGAACTCTGCTCATCCCACGTGGTAAAGACCATCCCCACATGCACCCCACACTGAGGGGACACTCACTGAGATGCCCACGTAGACAGCTCTCTTCTTCCCAAAACGGGTCAGGAACCACTGCCAGAAGGGAATGGTCAGGGTGGCCGAGAGCTGTGGGGACAGAAGGGTCATGGAGGTGCCTCTTGTCTGCTGGAAAGGCCCTTCCCAGCTCCTCCCACCCCAATTCCAGCACCTGGGATTGCCACACGCTCCCGGGGCTGGCACGAAGCCACACGTGGCCTGTGGGGCCATGTCCTCCCCCAGAGCAGAGCCCTGGCACCACACCTGCCCCGAGAGAGGAGGATCTGACTCAGTCCTGGGGGCTGAGAGGGGACCTGTGTCACAGACACATTCTATGAAAAACCCTTTCCTCAGGATTGTTCCTCCTGAGAAGCTGAGAGGCCTCAGGAACGAAATGCAAACAATGGTTATCTGCTGCTGTGGAATGCAACAGGTGCATCTGGGATTGGGCTCACGTGGTTGTTTCTCATTAATGGCCAATCACAGCCCAACTGGCTCAGACACTGTCTTCTGTCATTCATTCAATTCTTTTTCTATCCTTAGCCAGCCTTCTGATGAAATCCTTTCTTCTATTCTTTTAGTATAGTTTTAATATTTAATAATATATATTTAATAATATATATAATAAAATAATAAATTGTATATATTATATAATAATATAAATAAATCTATAAAATATATTAATAATAAATATATAAATATATAATAAATGTATATTTAATATAATAAATATATATTAACTATATATATATAATATATATTTAATAATATATACCATAAAACAATAAATCAAGCCTTCTGAAACATGGAGTCAAATCCTCATCTCTTCCCTCATCCTAAGACCCCTGTGAACACGGTCACAGACCTGATGTTGTCACCTGCCCACACATGGCACCTTGGGTCTTCCCACCCCATGAGGAGAGGCTGGGAGGTGCTTCCAGGAGTGAGGAAAGCTGCAAAGAGCTCTCAGGGAGCTGCTGTGCTCTGTGTTCCTGGCAGCAAACACTGAGATCCTTTTCTCAGAGCAGGGAGGGGAGGGAGACAAGTGGCAGGATTTGGACAAAAGGCTCCCAAGGCTCCTGGTGTCCCCCATCTGTGGCCTTGCTCAGGCAGGAACAAAGGCCCCGCTGTTCCTGCCAACCCACCCAGCCTCTGCAGGACGTTTGGCAGCTTCTTCTCGCTGCCCTTGTCCCAGGGGATCACTGTCCCTGTCCCTCAGCCCGTGCCAGCCCCCAGGGAGCCCCCCATGGCCTGCAGGACAGGGCCGTACCCACCATGATGGCCAGGAGAATGTTCTGGAAGTCGTTGCGGAAGCCCAGGGTGTAGGTGCAGAAGAGGGCAAAGTTTCCCTCCAGCAGCTGTGGGAAAGGCACAGGCAGGGCTCAGGGGGGACACGTCTGTCCTCACAGACAGGACAGGCACAGCCCCAGTGCAGGCAGGGTCAGGGGGGACACGGGGACACGTCTGTCCTCACACAGCCACACTCCCATCACAGACAGGGGTCAGGGGGGACACCCAGACACCCTGGGGGGACACGTCTGTCCTCACAGGCTGCGCCTCCAGCACAGATAGGAGTCAGGGGAGACACGTCTGTCCTCACACAGTCACCCCCCCAGCACAGGCAGGAGTCAGGGGGACACCCAGCACCCCAAGGGGACACGTCTGTCCTCACAGTCACACTCCTAGCACAGACAGGGGTCAGGGGGGACACGTCTGTCCTCACACAGCCACACCCCCAGCACAGACAGGGGAAGAAAGCAGCCATTGAGACATTGACTGAGGGCATGAGGCCACATCCTCTTCCTCCTGCCCGGGGCAGCTCTGGCTCACCCACCACGTGCTCCCAGCCCCTGGGATGGTCCCCACAGCCACCCCCAGTGCTGCTCCCTGTCCCCAGCTCACCATGAAGGCCAGCGAGGTGAAGAGGAAGCCGGCGATGAGCTTGATGTAGGGCCCGTGGTTCATCACCAGCTTCAGCCCCTGGAAGAAGGAGACAGGCTCGTCCGACTGCAGCTCACAGGACTCTGGGGAGCAGAGATCAGCCCAGCGTTAGAGCCCCCCCAAAACAGCACCCAAGGTGCCCCATCCTGCTGCTCAGCACCCTCCAGAACCCCTGCCCACCCAACAGCACCCTCCAGAACCCCTGCCTCACCCACAGCACCCTCCAGACCCCCTGCCTCACCCACAGCACCCTCCAGACCCCCTGCCTCACCCACAGCATCCCAGCCCCTGCCCACCCAGGGGTCCCTCAGCCCCGTGGAGCAGCCTGGCTGATTCCCCCAGGGAGAGGGAAGGACACAAGTTTGGATATCACATCCCCCCGGGATGCCCTGGTTGGCACTGGCAAACTTGGCCAGCCAAAAATGGGTGAGATAAAGGTTATCTAACAGACCCCAGAGGTGCTCTGGCCTCCTGCAGCACCTCCCCAGACCCAGAGCTCAGCTCCACCTGCCCCTCTCCTCGGGGAGACAGGAGCATTTCCACAAATCCTGAGCATCCCAAGCCCTGTCCAGCCTCACCTCTCCTCTCCCTCACGCCCAGCACCAGGATGAGGGCACAGAGGATGTAGAGCCCCCCGATGACCCCTGCAGCGATCATGTAGGCGTTTCTCTGTGTGAGACAGGGAGCAGCAGTCAGGGCAGGGGCTCAGCCAGGGCCAGGGGCTCAGCCCTGCAGCCAGGGGAAAGGGGAAGGGGCTCAGCCCTGCCCCAAAGGGAGCACACATCAGGGCACCCCCAGCTTACAGTGTCTGTGAGACCCCTGGTGTCGTGGGTCATGTTCAGCTCCTCCATGGCCACCGAGGAGTTGGTCAAGCCAAAGAAGAAGGGGCTGCCCACGCAGGGAGTGTCCACCTTGCCAACGATCTGGCCCTGGATGGCAGTGCCCAGCACGGTGCCCAGCACCTCCACGGTCATTCCTGCAGGGAGAGGCCAGCACTGAGCACAGCCCCTGTCCACAGCAGAGCATCCCCAGCTGGGATTCACTGCCCTTCAAGGGGAGAAACGAGCTCCAGATCCTCGAGGGATAAAGGGAAAAGGGACGGGGGGAAAAAGGGAAGGAAGGAGGGGAAAAGAAAGGGGAAAGGAAAAAGAAGAAAGGAAAAGAAGGAAAGGGGAAAGGCAAAGAAAGGGGAGCTCTCACGGTAGGCAGTGGCCGAGTCCCGCTCGCTCTGCTCCCTGCTGATGAACATGGTGAGGGCTGAGTAAGGCACGTGGAAGCACTGCAATGGCACAAGGAGAACTGGCTCAGGGAGGATACCACAGCCCAAGGAGGGACCTGGGGCAGGGTGGTTTCTGCCCCTCTGTGCAGCTCAGGCATTGGCAGGGGCTGGCAGCCTCCGTGCCAGGTGTGAGCAGAGCCTGACTCACCGTCACGAGGGTCTGGAAGGCACAGTAGAAGACAAGGTACCACATCACTTGTCCTGTGGAGATGTCTGGCACGAACCAGATGAGGAAGTAGGAGATGATGGCGAAAGGGGTGGAGAACATGATCCTTTGAGAGAAGAATGTGTCAGCCTGAGCAGCCCAACTCTCCCCACACACCCCGTGGGCTTCGGGCAGCTGATCTGGGGGCTCCTGAGCTGCCCCAGGGCTGATCCAAACCAGCCTGGAGGCAGCAGCTCAGGTCTCACAGGGTCAGAAGAGCTGACTCAGAGTTCCAGGGAAGATCTTTCCTTACACTAACAGAGGAGTCTCCTTCTACAGAAGTGATTGATCTGCTCTTGCCTTGGGCTTCCACCCCCAGTCCCGACCTCTCCCCCAGGCAGCACTGCTGTGTTCAGCAGGATGTAATCACCCCCCTGATCCTGGCAAGGGCCGGGGAGCAGCTGGGGAACAGCTCAGCCCTGCTCCCCAGCAGCCAAAAACCTCTCACCAGCTTGGCTTTGCTGCCAAGGCCTCCCAGGCCCTGGTCCTGGGGTCAGCCCTGCTCTGCTGGCAGCAGTGGAGCAAACCAGCAGCAGGCTGGCTCCTTCCTCCACCTCTGCCCACCCTTCCAGAGCTGCAGGAGCAGGGACATGGGATGCAAAACACAACAGAGGATCAGAGGGGACTGCTCAAGTGCTGGGCCTTAGCAGCAATTCCTGCAGGATCTGCCAGCAAGGGCATCTGCCCTCTTCATCCCGTGGCTCTCATAACCCCTGTCCTGCTGCAGGACAGCCAGGGCACAGCTCTGCCCTGCTCCAGCACCCCAGGGACACCCCAGGCACCCAGGGCCCTCCATCCCTCAGGGGAGGAGGGGAGAAGGAAGGAGGGAAGCCAGCCAGGTGCTGAGGTTAGACCCACATCTGTTTAGAAGATGGATTTTGCTGGGGAATTTGTGAGCACCCTGCGTTCCACAAACCCCGGGACAGACTGTGAGGTCCTGGAGCGAGTCCAGCAGACCTGGACATGGGACAGGGCCACTCATGGCCTGAGCTGGCCCTTCCCTGCCAGGGTACAGCGAGATCTTTCCGAGATCTTTCCGTCTGGGCTGACGTACAGGACACAAAGCTTAAAGCGAAAGTCAGGGAAGGAGCAGGGAGAGCGAGAAACAGAAACTCCATGGATGGAGAGCAGCGACAGAGGCTGCACAGGACCCAACACATTTTTGCACACCCACGTCACCCCTGCAGGGGAAGGAGGGGGGAGGAAAGCGCCCAGCAGCTCCAGCCCCTCCTGCTGCCGCTTATCTGCCCTCCCATATGCGGAGCTGAGGGAAACACGGAGCCAAAAGCTGAATGAAAGCACCGGGAGAGGACAGAGCAGCATCACGCTGGCCATCCCATGAGCGTCAGATGTGCCAATTCCCCCCAGCATCGGGCAGCTGAGCCCCAGCCAGGGCTGACCACAGCTCCTGGCAGGAGTGGAGTGACTGAGAGTAACCCCTGACCCAGGGCGAGGTGATTAAGGAGCTCGGAGGCGGCTGTGACGTGCCCCGGCGCTCATTGGCCCCGCTGGATGGTGTGTTCCTTTGTGCCTCTCGCACACCCCTTCCCAGCCAGCCCGGGCTGCTGGAAAACGGCTGGAAAAGGTCAAGGCCAGGGGTTTCTCACTCACAGACACCTCAAGGAAAAAGTTCAGTCAGCGGGAAGTCCGCTGTGGTCACAGAAATGCGGATCCCAGCTTGGAGCTGGGCACAGGGTGACGTCCACGAGGCTGGGGGGAAAGGAGGAAGCAGACAGCATGGATGAGCTGGTGGATGGAAATGTGCCAAAAAATGCGTTTCAAAGAGAGAGCGCTGAAAGGCAGAGAGGTGGTGGCCCTCAGGGAAGGCGTCCTCTCCCTTCCAAGGAATGGAACAGCCACAGGCTTTGTGCTGGAGCCAGCTGGGCTTGGTCCCACAGATCAACCCTCACACATGGCAGGGTCACACCTTGCAGGTGCTCAGGGTTGGGGTCAGGCAGAAGCCTTGAGACCACCCCAGTGCCTGCAGCTCCTGCCTTTGCACACAGGGAAACTGAGGCAGCCACAGCGGCACCACCAGCCTGGGGCCGGCGGAGCCAGAAAAACCTGGGTTTAAGAGGTTTAAAATCAGCTCGGCTCCATCCAAATGGGGCTCAGCGGGCAGCCCTTGAGCCATGCACAATAGCAGCGAGCTGTGGGGCCCAGCACAAGCAGAAAGAGCTCTGGCTAATTTTAACGAAGCAGGAGCTGCTCGGAGGAATGCGGCCACTTCAGTCCCACCCCCTGCCTGGAGATTAGGGCGAGCGGAGCCGTCCCCGCACGCCCAGCCTGCCCCGCGCTAATCTCCAGACCCCAGACCCTGCTGCAGGCAGGCAGAAGCTATTTCAGGCCACGTGTGTGCAGCCTGCCTTCACCAACTGCCTGCTGCTGCTGCTGCTGCTGCCCAGAGCTATTCCAGGAAAGCCAGGAAGCAGAGGGTATAATTCTGTGGGGGACAGCACTGCGTCCCTGCAGCTCCACTCACTCCCCCCCGTGCCCACCCTCGCTGTGTTTCAGCCATCCCACAGGCACACGAGGTTATTTTAGCCACCCTGTCCCCTGCTCAGGCATTAAAGCTCCACATCCCGTGCAGGAACAGGTGTTCAGGGATGTCCTGAGCCATCTGAGGGCTCACAAAGCCCATCCCTGCTCCCAAGGGCACAGGGAGCACCCCGTGCAGACACCCAGATCCAGCACAGCTGTTTCCCTGCAGTCTCGTGACTGTCAGCCACCACCACAGATCTGTCACACACACCCCCAACCCTCCTCCCCGTGGTGCCACCTGCCCTGGCTGCCACCACAGCACCACAGGAACAAAGTCCACCACGTTGGAGTTTGCAGGTGCAGTGACATTTAGGTCAGCCAGGCTCAGCAAGAGCAACGGGCACAAACTCGAGGCCACCCAGCTGTCAGTGGCGGCCGGGGCTTTTTGGAGCTCTTGGCACCACACCTGGGCGAGCCAGGGCGTCAGCACATCCTGCCCTGCACTGCTACATGCCAGGAGATACCCAAAGGTGACTGGAAGAGCTGTGACACAGCAGGCAGGGAATGCAGGGTGCTACCAGCAGCTCTTACCAGGGCATCAGGCGGCCGAAGCGAGTCCAGGAAGTTTTGCTGATGAAGAACCCCACCATGGGGTCCGTGATGGCATCCCACACTCGCCCCACAAATAGGATGATGGAGGCATAGAAAGCGTCCACCTGCAGGAGGAGGAACTTGGGTCAGGAAATGCAAACCCTCAATGCTCTCAGGGCCCCTTCTGAGCCCCTCAGGACCATCCCAGCCCTACCCACTGTGACCCCCCCCAACCAGTTGGGAGCAGTCCCTCGGTCTCTCCCCTTCCTTCAGAGGGATTTGAGGCTCCCAGAACCTCCGAGTGGAATTCCCACATCTCAGAGCCGAGCCCCCAAACCCAGCACAAGGCAGCCCAGGGGTTCTCCTTCCACAGTTTCCTTCCCTCTGCGTTTCACACCGACCCGGCCCGCTGTAGGATGGGTTCTGTGCCCCGCAAAACCACCACCACGACCCCGCTTTGTCCCGCACGGCAACAACAACACGCGTGGGACCGGCCCAGGGGAAACTCGCAGCCCCCGGGACGCGGGGTAGCTCCATCCCCGGGGCAAAGCGGCACCGGGAGCTCCGGGACCCGGGGCAGCTCCATCCCCGGGGCAAAGCGGCACCGGGAGCTCCGGGACCCGCATCCCCGGGGTTGGGGCACTACCAAGGCCCCGCAGCTCCATCCCCGGGGGCAAAGCGGCACCGGGAGCTCCGGGACCCGGGGCAAAGCGGCACCAGGAGCTCCGGGACCCGCATCCCGGGGGTTGGGGCACTACCAAGGCCCCGCAGCTCCATCCCCGGGGGCAAAGCGGCACCGGGAGCTCCGGGACCAGCAGCTCCGGTGCCAATCCCGCCCTCCAGCCCGGCCGTACCTGCGCCACGTCCAGGAGGTAGATCTGGAGGAAGAAGCCGAGGGCGCAGCCCGTGATCTGGTACGGAGCCCCCCCGACGGCGTAGCACAGCTTGCTGCACACCGACAGCCGCTCCCGGCCCTCCTGCAAACCGGGACGGGCATTAGCGACCCCGGGCAGCGCCCCCCGCCCCGCACCGGCCCGGATCCCCCCCAGGCCTGCCCCGGGGCTCACCCTGCGGCGGTGCTGGCGGAGCGCGGGCGGCAGGAGCCCCCCGGCCCCGGGCCGCTCCGCTCCGCCGCCCCCGGCCATGCCGTGCGCGATGAATGGAGCGAGCCTCCGTCCGCCCGCCCGCCCTTGTACCGGGGGGACCCGCCCCGAGATGGGCAGCGCCGGCCCGCCCCCACCCGCCTCCGCCGCCTCCTCCTCCTCCTCCTGTCCCAGCCCTGCCCGGCGTTCCCCTCCCCTGAGTCCTGGTGCTTTCGTTGCCTCTCGTCTGTCCCACATCCCTCCAATCTCCCGTTCTTCATCCCTCAGCCCCCCACTCCATCCCTGCCCTTCATCCCTCAGCCCCCGCTCCCTCCCTGCCCTCCATCCCTCAGCCCCCGCTCCCTCCCTGCCCTCCATCCCTGCCCTCCATCCCTCAGAATGGCAGAACGGTTTGGGTTGGAAGGGGCCTTAGAGCCCATCTCCTGTCACCTCCCTGTCCCCTCCCAGCCAGGTTCTCCGAGCTCCATCCTCCCTGGCCTTGAGCACTGCCAGGAATGGAGCATCCACCACCTCTCTGGGCAGCCTGTGCCAGCGCCCCACCACCCTCATCGTTAAAAACTTTCTTTATATCTCACTGAAATCTCCCCTCTTTCAGTTTAAAGCATCACCCCCGTGTCCTGTCACGACAGGCCCTGCTAGAAAGGGTGCAGGGGACTCTCAGTGTCCCCCTGGCTGGATGGCCACATGGACCTCCATCCCAAATCAGAAACACAAAACACCCTGAAACAAGAGAGGAGTGGATAAAGTTTCTCTTTTCCTCGGGGAAAATCTCTTGCCCAGGAGCAGAGGGGACTCCTGTGGTGGCACCTGACCATGCTCTAGGGGCCAGACTCCCCAGCTGTGTGTGACCCCAGCACCATTACCCTGTTCCCTTTGTCCCAGGGGCTCCTCAGCTCCTGGGAATGCTTTTGGCATTCCCATCCTTGAGCAGAGCTGCCTCCTGGGCAAACAGGGCTCTAGGGGAACAAAGAGAGGCCTTTGAGACAGAGATTGTGCAGAAAGACCACAGATAGGGGAGCCCAGCCCTGCATATGAACAGGAGACGTAGACAGACCAGGATTTCCCTGGATTAGGAGGATTTTCTCCCCCAGATCTGCTATTGCACAATTTCCTGTGGGGGATTTGAGCCCTTCCTCTGGGGGCAGGTGCTCTGGGGGATCCTCATGGTGATAAATGACCCACCAAGGGCTGACCCCAGCAGGGATGTCCCTGCAGCAGCTCCTGCCAAGCCTGGGGACCCACAGTGGTTGGGGTTGGGCCACTCACAGGGTCACCAGAACCACTTCAGTGACACCACACCGGCCTGGCCTCCACATCCCCCAGCTGGGGACACCTCTGGGGCCTCCTGGGGGATGAGTCCCAAATTCTGGCCCTGGGGACATGGAAGGGTGGGGGCACCAGTGCAGGATGCCATCCCTGCTGCCACCCACCCCTCCCACTGTCACACATCCGGCACAGCCTGGGGCAGGATCTGAGCAAGTGTGAGAGCACCCGAAACCAGACAGCCCTGCCAGGCTGGGCCAGCCCTGCCAGGGAGCGTGGGCTTGGGGGCAAACAGCACACAGGTGATCCCAGAGCTTTTGGAGGCCTGAGTGTGGGGATGGCACTGCCTGACACCACAGAGCTTCCCCAGGGCTCAGGGCACCTCCTCTGTCGGGCAGGGAGTGACAGTGACAAAATGAGTGGAGGGAAGGAGGAGGCAGCAGGGCTGGAACCAATGGTGCATTTTCCTCTCCTCCCTTTCTCTGCACGCCCAGGGAGCTGGGGCTGGTGTGACCCCGGGGCTGTGGGCACTGTCCCCCTCCCTGTCAGGCTGGGCAGTTTTTAGTGGTGTTCCTGCAGCCCACAGGGGTTTGGGATGGCATTCTGCAAACCTCCAGCCAGGCTCTGTGCCTGCTGCCCAACAACTTCTTGGGGACAAAGGGGACTCATTGCAGGGCTACACGTGGCGTGTCACAGGGCAGAGAGGGACAAGATAGGGCCAAGATGTGTTGGCACAGCCTCTGCTCCCTCCCTGGGCATCCAAGCCTCCCATGGGCATGGCAGAGTGGCTCGAAGGCTGCAGTGGGATGGGGACATGTCGCAGACATCTTTTATGAAAAGTCTTTTTTTTAGGATTTTTCCTCATGAGAAGCTGAGAGGCCTCAGGAACAAAATGTAACCAATGGTTATCTGCTGCTGTGGAATGCAACAGGTGCATCTGGGATTGATCTCATAGAGTTGTTTCTAATTAATGGCCAATTGCAGTTAGTTGGCTCAGACTTTGTTATCATTCTTTCCTATTCTATTCTTAGCCAGCCTTCTGATGAAATCCTCTCTTCTATTCTTTTAGTATAGTTTTAATATAATATATATCATAAAATAATAAATCAGCCTTCTGAAACACGGAGTCAGATCCTCCTCTCTTCCCTCATCCTCAGACCCCAGTGAACACGGTCCCAGGGACATCCAGAGACAGACCCCAGGACACCCCTGGGACACCTGCCAGGCTCTGGGGGTGGCTGCCCACTGTGGGGAAGCCCTCTGGGCTCTGCAGCTTCAACCCCCAGCCCTGCTGGAAGTGGGGATCCAAAGGGCACGGGGCCACCAGGATCTGCTCTTGCATCGTGTGTGGAGCCGTGCCAGCTGCCAGCAGGGCCACGGCAGCTGCCGAGGGCTGTGCCAGCACCGGGGACACGCACTCAGCACTGCCTGGGGACCTGTGCCAGCACCGTGCAGCAGGGCCAGGTTATTCTGTCCCTCTGTCGCTGTCCCCGCAGCCCCCGGGGCAGTCACACCCCCCTGTTTGCACAGCCGGCGGCTCTCGGGGCTGTTTGCCCAGCGCTGGAGAGGTGGGGATCAAAGGGCTCCGGCTCTTCCCGGCGCTGCTTCTGCACCTTCAAAGCACCCGGAGCCCCTTGGAGCCCGGACAAGCTCCTGCCTCGCCCTGGGAAAAGCTGAGGCCGTCCCGGAGGCCACGGGGAGGAAGGAAAGGAGGGAGGAAGGAGACGTGGCCGGGCGCTATAGGCTGGAGGAGAGCGTGTTCCTGCTGGAACAGGCAGCTCGGAACGGCGACAGTGCCAGGGTGTCCCCAGCCATGGCCACTTGTCACTGCAGGTGCTGGCTCAGCACAAACCTGGGCGGCAGCTCAGTCCCTGCCCTCAGTGCAGGGCGATTTGTTTCCTAAGGGAGAAGAGAGAGCTTCTCCCGCGCTTCCCAGGGAGGGAGAAGGGTGGCAGCAGCCCGGAGGTGGCAGGGCTGCGGCTGGTGACACCCTGGGGACACGCCCGGGGCTTCCAGCGTGGGGACTGGGGGCAAAGCTGAGCCCGGAGTGCAAAGGGAACCTCAGCCCGGAGCCCACCGGGATTCCCGGATCCCGCAGCTCCTGCCCCATCCCACCGGGATTCCCGGATCCCGCAGCTCCTGCCCCATCCCACCGGGATTCCCCACCCCGCAGCTCCTGCCCCATCCCACCGGGATTCCCCACCCCGCAGCTCCTGCCCCATCCCACCGGGATTCCCGAGCCCGCAGCTCCTGCCCCATCCCACCGGGATTCCCGATCCCGCAGCTCCTGCCCCATCCCACCGGGATTCCCGACCCCGCAGCTCCTGCCCCATCCCGCAGATTCCCGACCCCGCAGCTCCTGCCCCACCCCGCAGCAGCTTTGGGATGCTCGGGGCTGCTCTGGAAGGGCCAGGAGAGCATTTAGGGCGCTGCGGCCATCGCGGGGACCCCAGAGCTGGGAAATCTCAGCCCCGAGCCAGCGATCTCACAGGGGCTGGAGCTGGCAAAGCTTTGCGGGGTCCGCCGAGCCCCGAGCTAGCAAGGGAAGGGCCGGAGCTGCCCCGGGACACCCCGGGATATACCGGGACACACCGGGACACCCCGGGACAGCCGCCAGCCCTGCTCCTCTGCCTGCCCAGTGCCCGCTGGCGATGGGGAAACTGAGGCACGCAGTGGTGGCAGCGCTGTCCCCCTGGCGGGGGGCGCCCGCTGCGGTGTCACCCGCGCGTCCCCGTCCCCGCCGCCCCACGGGCGCTGCTCCCGGGGCCCAGCAGGTGGCGCCCCGAGCCCGGCGGTGGCGGCGGACGGGGACCGGGACCGGGGGGAACCGGGGAGAACCGGGGAGAGCGTGATGGACCCGACTGGGCTGGATTTGGCTTGTCTGTGCTGGTCTACACTGGACTGAGTGCACTGGGCTGTACTGGGCTGTGCTGGTCCATGAAGAGCGCTGCAGTGCTGGGCTGTACTGGGCCGTACTGGTCGCTGGACTGGGACAGTTTTCTCCCTCCAGAACTGGTGCTGCACCCCGGGCACCAGTTCCCAACCTCCCAGTCCCTCCGGGGCTGCCGGCTGGGGCAGATCCCGTGGCCTCATCAATGCACACTGGGTGAAGAAAGGAGGGCGCTGGGGCTGAAGTGGGTTCACTCACACCGTGAGGGGAATCTGTTGGTTCAGGGTGGACTTTGTACCTCTGTGTGTGTGTGTGGGTAACAATTAAGGGCAGGAGGGAAAGCCCCACTGTGTTTTCACAACAATTATTGCCCTTTCTAGGAGGAACTTGGCATTGGAGAGATGCAGCATCCTGTGCTGCATGGGCAAAATGCTGCTGGTGGGAGCTCTGTGTGTCCCAGACACCCCAACTTCCATCCAGCCTGTGGCTCCTGACATCCCCAGGGGCTCCCAGCCCCTCCACAGCCCTTCCTCTGCGCACAGACCTCATTTCTCATGAGCACTGTGTCCCCCTGCTCTGTTTTCCTGGTGTCCCCACAGCCCCTCCGTGTTCTAGCCCCTCCTTTTTGCTGAAGTTGGTGCCTTTCAGGGGAGGAATGCTCCCAGCTGGGCCTGTCAGGGCTTTGGGGAGGAGTGGGGATGTCTCCAGGTGGCATCCAGGGCGGCACCGTGAGCTGGACACAAGCACTGAGTGACCCCGATGCTGCCCCGTGCTGAGGCCCTCTCCTGCCTGTGGTGTGAGCAGCGGTGCCTGACAGCCAAGAGGATGAGAAAGAGCCCTCAAAAATCATCCCCGCCAGCACAACGATGCCTCCTTGTGACTTGTCCCC